GGGCCGAACTGATGGGCTGTGAAGATATGAAGACCAAAGACTGTACCCGTGTCCGGATGAGACTCTCCTTGGCGTGGAAGGCAAGCTTGGCGAACAACTATGAAGATTCCATCTTATGTGACCGACTCTATGTAACCTAGATCCCCCCGGTGTCTATATAAACCAGAGGGTGTAGTCTGGAAAGGATATACTCAATACCGTAGTCATACAGGCTAGACTTCTAGGGTTTAGCCATTACGATCTCATGGTAGATCAACTCTTGTAATACTCATATTCATCAAGATCAATCAAGCAGGAAGTAGGGTATTACCTCCATAGAGAGGGCCCGAACCTGGGTAAACATCGTGTCCCTTGTCTCATGTTACCATCAACCTTAGACGCATAGTTCGGGACCCCCTACCCGAGATCCACCGGTTTTGACACCGACAGCGCCGCCGCCACAGCCGCATCTGTCGGCTCTGGCGCTTCCGTCGGCGCCTTGGGATCCCGCACTTCTAGCCGCTCGCCCGGTCATCACTCTCAGGCGCTACAAAGATCGCAGGGTAGTTCAGGTTTTCGGCAACGCACGGGCGTGGACTTCACCGACACTTTTGCTCTGGTTGTTAAACCGGGCACGATCCACACCATGCTCCAGTTAGCCGTCTCCCGTGCCTAGCCCGTGCATCAGTTGGACGTCTCCAACACCTTCTTGCACGGCCACCTCGCTGAGCAGGTGTTCTATGAGCAGCACACTGGCTTCATAGACGTCGCGCATCCCAACCACGTGTGCTTGCTCTCCCGTTCCCTATACGAGTTGAAGCAGGTGCCCCGGGCCTGGTACCAGTGCATCGTTGCGTTCCTGCAGACGCTTGGATTCACATCCACTCGCTCCGATGTGTCCCTCTTTTTTTATCATCACGGAGCTGCCACGGCCTACTTATTGCTCTATGTCGACGACATCATCCTAACAACATCCACCGCCGAGCTTCGTCAGCGGCTCACTGCTCGTATTCGCGATGAGTTTGCCCTAAAGGACTCGGGGCCCCTGCACTACTTCCTCGGCATTGAGGTGGTTCGACGGCCAGATAGGTTTTCCCTGCATCAACAGCGGTATGCCCATGAGCTTCTTGACTGTGCTGGCATGCTTAACTACAAGCCCGCCGGCATGCCCGTCGACGTCAAGGCCAAGGTTTCAGCTCTGGAGGACTCTCCCGCATCCAATGCGGCCTTCTATCGCTCTATCGTGGGTGCTCTGCAGTACCTGACCCTGACGCGCCCCGACTTGCAGTATGTTGTTCAGCAGGTTTGTCTTCACATGCACTCTCCACGTGACTCTCATTAGACCTTGGTGAAGCGTATCATTCATTACATACGCGGCACCCCGTCCTTGGAACTCACGCCGACGGCCTCCGCTTCCACCGACCTCATTGCCCACTCTAATGCGGACTGGGCTGGTTGCCCGGACACATGTCGTTCCACCTCGGGCTACTGTGTGTACCTTGGGCCGTCGCTGATCTCGTGGTCGTCCAAGCGACAACCACGGTCTCCTGCTCGAGTGCCGAGGCAGAGTATCGGGCAGTGGCTAATGCCGTTGCCGAATGCTCTTGGCTTCGTCAGCTGCTTCAGGAGTTGCTTTGTGACGTTCACAAGGCCACGCTCGTCTACTGCGATAACGTCTCCGCCGTGTACCTCTCCGCCAACCCAGTCCACCATCGTCGAACGAAGCATATTGAGCTCGACATTCACTTTGTTCGCGAGCAGGTCACTCTTGGGCGCATCTGGGTACTTCACGTCCCGACGGCGCAACAGTTCGCTGATGTGATGACGAAGGGACTGCCTACTTCCGTCTTTGAGAAGTTCAGGTCCAGTCTTTGCGCTCCGGCGACGCTTCGACTGCACGGGGGGAGGGGGGGTGGTGTTGAATATATGGTTGTGCATGTATATTGTATATCTTGGTCCACCTCCTAGTCCTTGTATAGTTCAGGTCGAGACCCACTTTATACATCCATATATACGTGTGTTATGCACCGATCAATACATCGAGTTGCATTGCCAAAGTAATCTCTTCCAACACTGATGCCCGATCCTGCGTCAAGAGCGTACAATGAGAAATCATAGTCTCGTCGACCCAAAGAGACGACATGACTCTATGCCGGAGCTTGTTCAACTTTGTCCTGTCAGACCAATTCGAGGAGAATCACGAGGCTTTACTTACGGTGACACAGGCATCACTATCATATTTTGACCACTAATTTCGGTGCAAACATATCTTGTCATATAAAGTAATTGTAGTGCATTGTCTGATGCTAGTAATTTTTCCTTACAGAATGACAAGCACAGAAATATTTGACGGTAAAAAGTTCAGAAAACCAGCTTACATTTTCGATAAGACGCAGTATTATATTTCGTAAAAAGCCTTTCAACGATCTTAGGCAAAGAAAAAAATGATCACAACGCAAGGTTACCCTCCTCGTGGTCGTGCAACACCCAGTGTCCAGTGGCGTTCTTGACCATGCCCTTGTTATTCTCCGCCCACCACATCGCCGGCACGGGGTACTCGTCTCTGAGCGCGTCCTCTTCCTTGTTGATGAGCGCCAAGTCGCGGTCCACCTCCAGGCCGAACCCCGCGCTGTCGCCGGCGCCGTGCGTCCCCGCGACGCCGTGCAAGTAGCCCTCCAGGTTGTGCCACTGGGCAGGGCCCGCCTTCTCCTTGAGGTACGGCGACTTGCGCGTGTCCACGAGCAGCTCCACGCCGACGTCGGCGTAGATCACGGGCGGCAGGATGGTCGGCACGATGTCCGGGACGTTGCGGACCCGGAGCAGGCTCAGGCCGGCCATCGCGTGGAAAGCCTTCTTGAACTGCTCGTCGCCGACGCGGGGGGCGCCGAAGTGGATGGCCGTGACGGGCACAGGGGTTCGGGACGAGCCGCGGACGTTGAATCCATTGGCGACCAGGTCGATGGCGTTGAGCGTGGACAGTGCCCCTCCCAGGCTGTGGCCGGTTATGCTGATGCTGCAGTCCTCGTTCTTGTACGTATCGAGCAGCGCTCTTACTTCGGTCAGCACCTGTCAAAAATTTGGAGCATGTGATGGTTCCTTCATTTAACACTCCTATATGAAATGCAAATATTTTTTCAAGCAGATGCTCATAAACACACATATACATTCATTCCTATAAAAGCATACACGCACGTCCCACCCGTGAACACCTTCGAGATATTAGTTTAGAAATATGAAATGCAGATGTTCCAAAATCCAAACAGATTCCGTGCCTCTCCTACTCTGCTACTCTAGAGAAAAACAACAACCACCCCAATTAACAACACCATGTGATGTTCAGAAAGAGAGGTTGTCGGGTTGTACGTGAATTCAGCAGAACGAGTGTGAAACCTGCTGGCCTTGCACACTGCAATTTCGTTGGTCTTAAATGAGGACCGTTGGCCCTTGTCAACTTCAGTCAGATTCGGATGACACGACGAGATGTCCCGGTCTCGACCCAAGCACCATGCAGAAGTGGGAACGAATTTATGCGCAGCAGCACAACGGTGAACTCGCTGGGACAGCCAGCACAAAAAATATTCCAAGTCTAGGAGAATTATGGGGAACTGTTTATGCCGGTGGATTTACGCCCTACAGCAGATCATCGACCTAGTCCAGTTGGGACGATAATATTCCAATTCTTTTTTTAGTTGGGTATAATATTCCAGTTCTAGGAGAGTGCAGATTAGAGAAGCAGTTAAGACTGTCAATAACACCCTCAGAATAGTACTCCTCAAAATAGAACTAATCTAAGACTGTTAACCTGAAATGTCGCAACGAATTTACCTGCTCGCGCGCGCTTCGTCTGTTGAACCTGGACGTGGAGTTCTTGGACGTGTACACGGACAGAAACCCCCTGTGCACGTACGGCTGCGACCAGCCGCGCCCCGGCCCGACGATGCCGGCCGCTGGTACCAGCGCGAAGTCCAGGTCGCTGGCCCACTCCGTCGCCCGCTTCGTCGCGCGCCACGCCACCACAATGTCCCGCCTCCCGAGCGCCGCCGCGCCGCGGTCCGTGGCCACCGCGACGTACCCCATCCAGTTGGACTCCGTGCTCCACGCACCCACCGGCAGCGGCCTCGCCATGAACCCCTCAGGCAGCCGGGCGCTTGACGTCGCGTAGATGAACCTTGTGACGCGGTACGCACCCGGGTCGGACGCCTGAACCTTGGTGAAGAACGAGGCCGGGCTGTAGCGACAAGCCCCGGCGTACGGCGACGCGGGGTCCGTGATGAAGCCGTCCGACGTCGCCTGCGCCAGCTCGCCGTAGCGGATGACCTCGCGCCGGACGTCGATGTTGAGGGGGTCTAGGAGGCCGCTCCATTGGTTGCTGCCGCTGATCTCCCTCCATCTTTGAGCAATTGCTACGTCAGAGAGAGTGGTGACCAGCAGTAGAGAGAGTCGCAGATAGTGATACATCTGGGAAACTTTGTGTGCATGCAACTGGAAGAATCGGAGGAGAGCTTGGTGGTACAAGGCTGCGATTCAGATAAATACGGATGTCACTGCCACGGTGCCACCAGCTCTCCCACGGGCCAACAACGTGCAGGGAGTGGCCGAAAGCAAAAGGATGGAGGAAAGAAATGGAGTAACTTGTAGAGGGAAGAGGAAGAATCAAGGAAGGAATATATACACGCCCGAGAAGGGTCTGCCCTGCTTTTGGAGGAAAATAGTATATATACTTTTTTTGCATGATAAAGGGGCTGTTTATTGGAAAGTTATAGTGTTATAGTCGAGAGGTCACAAATTCTCGATACAAGGTGGAACCGAGTTTAACCACACAACAGTAGTTCTCACGAAGCGGCTATAGTTGACCAACCGATCGGCAACTCTATTTTGACTAGAATGAATTTTCTGAGGTAAAAACTACCTACTCCTCTTAACTCCCTAATCTCTAGGACTAAATGACCATATGCCACTACTAGTAAAAACCGTATAGGTAGACAAATAGCACTGGCGAGGGGTAAGTGGTCCGCGCTATTATTAAGTAGTAGTAGTGCGGATCACAACCCCACGCTACACATATAGTGTAATAGTTGTGCGGGTTCATATACCCCGCGCTGCTGTTAAGTGGGTCTGATACGTCTCCAACATATCTACAATTTTTTATTGTTTCATGTTATTATATTATCTATTTTGGATGTTTTATATGCATTAATATGCTATTTATATTATTTTTGGGACTAACCTATTAACCTAGAGCCCAGTGCTAGTTTCTATTTTTTTCATGTTTTTGACTTTCACATAAAAGGATTATCAAACAGAGTCCAAACGGAATAAAACTTTATGATGATTTTTCTTGGACCGAACGACACCTACGTGACTTGGAGAGAGGGTTAGACCTTGTCTGTCGGTCGAAGAAGGCAACAAACAGAGCCCTACTAAGCCCATCTGACCTGCTTAATCAATGACTCCGGTAGTCACCTGAACCACTCTCTCGGATAGCCCACAACCTCTCTTCTGGCGCAAGTGCAAAATGTTCATTGCCTTGATCAGAGCCTTTAAGCCTTTTAGAAGCGAGCATTTCCGCAGCTTCTATTTTTCCTAAAGCTAATGAACCAAATAGAAGAGAAAAACTTGGAATAAAGAGTCCCAATGAGGCCACAAGCCTCCAGGGCGTGCCCCTGGCTTGTTGGCCCCTCGGGAGTCTCCTAACACTAGTTCCACCTCTATATATTCTCAAATATTCCCCCAACATCAGAAGGGTGCACCAAAATACTTTTCTGTCGCCGCAAGCCTCTGTTCCCGTGAGATCCCTTCTTGAGGCCTTTCCCAGCACTCTACCGGAGGGGGATTCGATCACGGAGGGCCTCTACATCAACCTTGCTACCCTTACGATGAAGCATGAGTAGTTTACCACAGACCTATGGGTCCATAGCTAGTATCTAGATGGCTTCTTCTCTCTCTTTGATCTTCAATACAATGTTCTCCTCGATGTTCTTGGAGTTCTATCCGATGTAATCTTCTTTTGCGGCGCGTTTGCTGAGATCCGATGAATTGTGGATTTTGATCAGATTATCTATGAATATTATCTGAGTCTTCTCTGAACTCTTTATCCATGATTGAGATAGCTTAGTAATTCTCTTCGAACTATCGGTTTGGTTTGGCAACTAGATTGGTTTTTCCTACAATGGGAGAAGTACTTTATAATGGGTTCAATCTTGCGTTATCCTCTCCCAGTGACAGTAGGGGCAGCGAGACACGTATTGTATTGTTATCATTAAGGATAAAAAGGTGGGGTTTATATCATATTGCTTGAGTTTATCCCTCTATATCATGTCATCTTGCTTAAATCGTTGCTCTGTTCTTATGAACTTAATACTCTAGATGCAGGCAAGAATCGGTCGATGTGTGGAGTAATAGTAGTAGATGTAGAATCGTTTCGGTCTACTTGTCACGAACGTGATGCCCATATTCATGACCATTGCCTTAGATATCGTCATAACTATGCACTTTTCTATCAATTTCTCAACAGTAATTTATTTACCCACCGTATGCTATCTTCAAGAGAGAAGCCTCTAGTGAAACATATGGCCCTCGGGTCTATTTTCCATTATATATTTTAAGATCTATAAACAAAAAACCCAAAAATATGTTGCTGCAATTTATTTATATTACTTTAGTTTGCTCTTTTATTTATCTTTTATACCTATCTCTATTAGATCTCACTCTTGTTCATGACCGTGAAGGGACTGACAACCGCTTTTTCGCGTTGTGTGCAAGTGTTTGTTAACTTTTGCAGGTGCATATATTGGAGACTTGCTTGTGCCTCCTACTGAATTGATACCTTGGTTCTTAATTGAGGAAAATGCTTATCTCTATTTTGCCGCATCACCCTTTCCTCTTCAAGGGAAAAATCAACGCAAGCTCAAGAAGTAGCAGGAAGAATTTCTGATGCCATTGTCGGGGAGGTTCTACATCAAGCCTACCAAGTACCCATCATAAACTCTCATCTCTTACACTTACATTATTTGCCATTTGCCTCTCGTTTTCCTCTCCCCCCACTTCTAAAACGTTTTCAGAAAAATATAAAAAGATTTTCCTTTTTATTCGCCCTTCTTTCGTTCGTCTTATCTTTTGCTTTTTATTTGCTTGTGTGCTAGATTGCTTGGTTTGTCACGATGTCTCAAGAATATACCAAGTTGTTTTACTTTTCCAACACTAATAATAATGATTTTATTAGTACTCCGATTGCTCCCGCCACTAGTGCGAAATCTTATGAAATTAATGTCGCTTTGTTGAATCTTGTTATGAAACAACAATCTTTCGTCTTCCTAATGAAGATGTCGCATCGCATCTAAATACTTTCGTTGAGTTGTGTGATATGCAAAAGAAAAAAGATGTGGATAATGATATTGTTAAATTGAAGCTATTTCCGTTCTCACTAGGAGATCATGCTAAAACTTGGTTTTCATCTTTGCCTAGAAAATAGTATTGATTCATGGAATAAGTGTAAAGATGCTTTTATTTCCAAGTATTTTCCTCTCACTAAGATCATCTCCCTTAGGAACGATATAATGAATTTTAAGCAACTTGATCATGAACATATTGCACAATCTTGGGAGATGATGAAATTGGTGATAAGAAATTGCCCTACTCATGGTTTAAGCTTATGGATGATCATACAAAAAAATTATGCCAGATTGAATTTTGCATCTAGAAATCTTTTAGATTCTGCCGCGGGAGGTACTTTTATGGAAATCACATTAGGAGAAGCTACTAAACTCCTAGATAATACTATGGAAAATTACTCTCAATGGCATATCGAAAGATCTTCCACTAGTAAAAAAGAGCATGCTATTGAAGAGATTAATACTTTGAGTGGAAAGATGGATGAACTTATGAAATTGATTGCTACTCCTATTGATCCTAATGATATGCCTTTGTCCACTTTGATTGAGAATAATAATGAATCTATGGGTGTGAATTTTGTTGGTAGGAACAATTTTGGTAATAATGCATATAGAGGTAATTTCAACCCTAGGCCGTTTCCTAGTAATTCCTCTAATAATTATGGTAATTCCTACAACAATTCTTATGAAAATTATAATAACATACCTACTGGTCTTGAGAACAACATTAAAGATTTCATTAATTCTCAAAAGAATTTCAATGCTATGGTAGAACAAAAATTTCTTATGATTGATGATTTGGCTAGGAACGTTGATAGAATTTCTCTTGAGATTGATTCTTTTAAGATTAGATCTATGCCACCTAAGATTGATATTAATGAATCTCTAAAATCTATTCAAGTTTCTATTAATTAAAGTAGAGAAAGAACCGCTAGGATGCGTGCTAAGAGAGATTGGTTTGTAAAAGTGTGTTCTTCCAGTTTTTGCGATAATAATGATGAAGATCTTAAAGTGATTAGCGTGACTCCTATTGAATCTTTGTTTGCTAATATAAATCTTGATAAATATAAGACTGGAGATGAGTCAACTTTAGCTAGAAGGCGTCCCAATAATTTGGAGGGTGAAGACCTTAATGAAAAAAATTGATAAAAGTGGGATTGGAGAGGTCAAAACTTTAAGTAGCGATGAACCCACTCTTTTAGATTTCAAGGACTTTAATTATGATAATTATTCTTTGATAGATTGTATTTACTTGTTGCAATCCATGCTTAATTCACCTCATGCTTATAATCAAAATAAAGATTTTACTAAACATATTGTCGATGCTATGATGAAATCTTTTGAAGAAAAAACTTGAGTTGGAAGTTTCTATCCCTAGAATGCTTTATGATGAGTGGGAACCTACTATTGAAATTGAAATTAAAGATTATGAATGTAATGCTTTGTGTGATTTGGGTGCTAGTGTTTCCACTATTCCGAAAACTTTATGTGATATGCTCAGTTTCCATAAATTTGATGATTGTTCTTTGAATTTGCATCTAGCGAATTCCACTATTAAGAAACCTATGGGAAGGATTAATGATGTTCTTATTGTTGCAAATAGGAATTATCTGCCCATAGATTTTATTGTTCTTGATATAGATTGGAATCCTACATGTCCTATTATTCTTGGTAGACCTTTCCTTAGAACGATTGGTGCAACTATTGATATGAAAGAAGGAAACATTAGATTTCAATTTCCATTAAGAAAGGGCATGGAACACTTTCCAAGAAAGAAAATTAAATTTCCATATGAATCTATTAAGAGGGCTACTTATGATTGCATACCAAAGATGATAATACATAGATCTATGTTTTATGCCTAGCTAGGGGCGTTAAACAATAGCGCTTGTTAGGAGACAACCCAATTTTTTTTGTTTTTGCTACTGTTCTTAAATAAATACACGTTATTACTTCTGTAGTAATTGTTTTTAGTGTTTTTAATTAGTGTTTGAGCTAAGTAAGACCTTTGGGATGGTCTATGGTGATAGTTGATTTGATCTTGCTGAAAAACAGAAACTTTTGCAT